CCACAGTGGGACATTGGCATATACATTGGCACATCTGATCTATGATTGGACTCATAACTTAGAGGCTCATAGTGACTGATGGTGAGAAGCAAAAAAGTGTGGACAAAACAACATATTTTGAGACTTGCATTGTGTATGTGAGTGTGTGTCTCCTTGTGTGTGCGTGTGGTTCCATCCCGCAGGCTAATAATCATTGCCTCTCTCCAGATGGAGGAGTGTACCCGACTCAGCAGAAGTCTTCCTGCTTCCTCAGGGCAAGGGTAGTAGGGGGTAGTAAAGTGTGTGTGTGTGTGTGTGTGTGTGTGTGTGTGTGTGTGTGTGTGTGTGTGTGTGTGTGTGGGTGTGTGTGTGTGTGTGTGTGTGTGTGTGTGTGTGTGTGTGTGTGTGTGACAGAGAGAGTGTGTGTGTTCATTTGTGTGTTTGAGTGCATATGGAGGGAGGTATTGAACTGTCACTTACAGGAATCCTCCAGGGGACAAGGATCACATAGAGAAGAGGTAGAGAGCGCCAAATTAGATAAAGGCTTTTGGCACCATCAATCTACAGCAGACAGCTGTGTTAACACATACCTTCAGTCACTTATTATACTAAAAAAAACAACAGTGCCATTGTCAGTGTGTAACTCTATGTGTCCATTTGGTAGACACAGTCATCTATAACACTTTATGGTACCAATTCACATAGAGAAAGAAGTACTGCTACAACAAAAAGAACAAGTAGGTAAGTTTGGATGCTGTCTCTTGAGTAAACACTGTTACAGTTAGTTGTTGTTGAATGTTATGAGTCACAACAAATGGCAATTCGCAGTATACTCTGTCAGATGGTTGCCTTTCTGTACACAAAAAATCTTCATTCATTTCAGTTGTTCATTCAGTAAATTCTTTCAAAATATTGCCAGGGCACCATTTGAAATATTGTATATACAATATAACAATGTATATACTCACTGATCTCCACGCTGTAACAAGAATTTTTTGCACACATACTAGCAGAGGATTTTCATTTTCAATGAGCTTTCAGCTTCTTTGGAGCTCCTGGCCTTGCTTGAATGACAGGTGGAAATGGGCTTCTTTCTCAATCCTGTCACAGTGCAGATAGGTGATGGCACAAGGTCTACCTGTAGCAGAGATGTCTACTGAACAGAACACCCACCCAGTCTTATTACACTTAAATATGCTCGCACACACTCATTCACTTACAGACGATAAAATGTACATTTTCCGCATAACTGCTTATGAGTCGTGAGTAAATTATTCACACCGATGTGCACACACATTCTTACATTTACATAATACCACATAATTCCACATCTACAGGCACTAGAGCAAAGTGACTTTAGTTGGCACATTAATCATGCTACGAGTACAGGGAAATATCTGTTCAAGTTAACAAGATGAGATTTCTTGTAAAGAAAAAAAAAATGCCATTCACCTCAGGCACAACTCGCTGTATTATAAATAATCATATAACACTCCTTTTCCCACCTACTCTGAAAACTTGAGTTACAAAACATTTTTGGATATTTATTATATTGCTTTCACCATCTCATACAAGCTCTAAGCATTGAAGGACTCAAGTAATTCCCAGTAAATTGCCTCCCTCACCAGCCAATTTGAGCTCCCATTGGGAAATGAATCACTGTGAGAGGTTTAAATATCATCTTGTCTGGTCTTGTTCTTTGCCAGTGTTTAATGCCTTTTAATGTCGTGATAATTAGTGTAGCCAAGAAGAGTGAGAGGATAAAACAAACAAAACACTCTCTGAAGTAGGTGTGTTGAACTGATGCCCTCTGGTGGTTGAAATATGTATGTTGCTTTATTGGCAGGAAGATTATGCAAACTTATCCTGTTGTATCCTGATGCATTTAGTAATAAAAAGGCAGTCACTCTGGTTTTATGTTAGTAAAATAACTGATAGCTTGATAATGCTTCGCAGTTGGTATTATACCATTATAGCCAGAGTCGAGACTACATGCTGGTGCTGAGGCTGAGATGGAGATTGTGCATTAGAAGGTTGCCATCTAGAGTCAGGATGCAGGCAGTGCAGAGTGATGCACTGAGCTCTAGATTGTTTGCTGAACCATTTCATGGGGTGAGTGTGAAGCGAGAGGGTTAGGGGAAAAAGGCAGACTCTCACCTTCCATTGCTACCACTCCTCCCTCCCACACACACACACATACAAGCACACACACAAGCACACACACAAACACCATCTCCACTGTGACTAGCTGTATGGTTGACAGACAGATCTCCCAGAGGTCTTGGAGGTCCTCAGGGACCAGGTGGTCAGTGAGGTGGATATTCTTAATGTCAGTTCTTGACTGCCAGTGCAAAACGCCCACTGACTGAGTGAGGTCGTGACTCAAGAGTCATTAGGCCATTTACTAATATAGTAAGGTCATCTACACTGTCATCAGTGTATTAGAATATGCACTTTGAGAGCAATATGGTGATGCATCATTCATGGTTAGTCATATGGTGTTGCATTGCAGAAGCTATTGTTTTTCTCTTTAATCTAAGGGGAGAAAGAACACTCAGTTCATTACGAATTACTTGTTGTTCTTTATATTGCTCCCAGGATAGTTCTGACAGCTTGTCTTACTTCACTGAATGAGATGCATGATTTTCCTTCAAGTTTCCCTTGTATGAAAGCTCACATATAAGGCCAACTTTATATTTCATGTCCATATTATAAGCTTACCTTTTATTTGTACAGATTTGCCACCACTAAGACAGAGCCTGTGTTGCACTGGTACAGTTAGATATTTTAATGCTTGATGCAGCTGCATTCATTTTGAAATTCATTTTAACCATTTTAATACAATAACACTGTGTAGTACATCTAACTGGAGACATCATGTGTTGTCATCAACACCTCTGTACCCTCAGTGGTTTTGTCTGTACACCAGAATATCAGATCACATCGAATCACTCTCCCACCAGCTCAGACATGCCAAATCTATCACAAAAAGAGTTGTTAATTTGTGTTTTTCATATCTTCTGTTCTGACAAGCATTTGGGTGTTGGGTAAGTATTGTGTATCAGTAATTTGATGGAGACAAACAGTCCAGTGACTGGAAATAGAAATAAAGGCACACCAAATTCAGAGCACCAACATAGATGAAGTAAAAATAGCTGGCTCATTTTTGTCAGTGTGCTTCATAATCAAGCATTCAAGTCTTTGAGAGCTGCAGCTACGCTGATAAGGTTTGCTATTGTTGATATACTACTGAACAGCTCTGTTGATTGTTGTAAGGTGTGAGCCAATAGCATTTACAAAAGGCAATTCTCCTTGTGTCCTAAGACAGCGAGAAGAATCAATTAGCCTTTAATGATTTTCCCCCTGATAATTTCCAGTTTTTGTAGAAATATGTGGCAAATATTATTCATATTTGGATTTGTATAGTGTTAAGTGAGAAGACTGCAGGCATTTGTAAAACTAAAAATATTTAGCTATTATAGTAACATACATATTATCATAGTATCATACATGTTGTAAAGTGGAAATATATACAAACATTTTTATATTGTTCATACACATGTACCTTTAAAGACAATTTTTTTTTCTCAAATTGAAAATTTTCTATTAAGATTAATACATTTAAAATAATTAATTCATGTTGTTAATTAATTTCAATGTCTGATGCTGTTAAAGATTTTTTTGTATTTTGTAATTTTATTTGAGTGACAGAGACATTCTGCACTCTCAAGTCTGACATCGTCATATTTGAATACACACATTTGAATAGTCCAAAAATTGCTAGTTTGGTCTTAGAGGATGAAGGAAAAATGAGAATTGCATCTTAACATTCATGCTAAAACAGCAGACTGCATTGCATTTAAATGGCATTTAAAATCAGTTAATGCAATATGAAAATCACACAGTCCTGTTTTTAGGGTTTTTTTAATAAATGACTTTAGAGCTTTTTAATGTGCAAATGGGTAAGTAGGTCGTACTCCTCTCCACTGCCACGGCACCAAGTTGTTTAATGTGCTTACGTCTTCAAGCTCCGTCTGAATTCACTCTATAAGACAGAGCTTTGACTCTGCTTCACACATTTCCCTTTTGACCACCATACAGTGCCTCATCACATCTCTTCCCATTCTCTCCATCTTTCCCTCTCTTTCAGTTTCTCCCCATCTCTCCTATTTTTCCCCATGCACAGAGGCAATTCTTTTCACTTGCATCCTATCCCTAGAGTTTCAATTTCAGCTTGTTTATCAATTGTATTGGATTTTACCCCCCCCCCCCCCCCCCCCCCCCCCCTCTCCCCCTCTCTCTCTGTCTCTCTCCCTTTCATTCTCTCTCTCTCTCTTTCTCATCTTGGAGACAGTAGTGTGCATGCAGCCTCAAATCTAAGCCGCTGCCTGTCAGGGTGCTCCGTTTATGCGCTCTGCGCTGCTCTCGTTTCCTCTCCTCTGCCCTCTGCGCTATACTGCACTGCACTGCACTGCTCGTCTCTCCTCTCCTCACATCTCCATCACTCCTCCTTCTCTTTCTCTCTTCTTTCTTTTTCTCTACCTGCATCCCTCTCCCATTACAAGCTCTTTTCTCTGCTGTGCACTGCTGCGCTCTGCTGTGTTGTTTGGGAAAATATTACACTCTGGGTTTTTTCGCGCCAGAGCTGAGTACACTCCAGCTACTGGTGGAAGAGGAATCAGATGATCCTGGTGCTCCAGGTTTGGCTTGCCTTGAACTCTTTGGATCTGTGTGGGCCAGGTTGGTGAAGAGGGCACAGAGGAAGGGGAGAAGGGGCAGATAGCTGCCCAGGTGAGAGCTTCATCTACTTGGGGAAGTAAAGGCTTCAAGGTGGTGGCGGTGGTGGTGGCGGTAGTGGTTGATAATTGTCCGTCGAGGGTCATGCCCTGGGACTTGCATGCTTTTCGGCAGTTGGAGTTGGAGACCCTCTCCCATTTTTGCCCCCCTAGTGGGGCAGCATTGATCCTGGTGCCGGGAAAAGCCGCCAGGCACCAGTGGCTGCACCGTGAAGAGTGGGCACCATGAACCAGCTGGACGCACCACGGCCACTCAACTGGACCATCAGAAAACTGTGCCATGCAGCCTTCCTGCCATCTGTACGCCTGCTAAAGGTAAAATAAAACAAGGGAAGGGAGACTGGGAACAAGAGAGTGGGAATGAACTAAACTAAAAAAAACAGATGCCCAGGGAGATGTATCGTAAAATATGTCAGGCAGCCTTCCTGCTATGCTGCTGCTTTCCAGAGGAAGATAAGTAGAAAGAGGTGTGAGGATACAAAATGAGTGCTGGAGAAGCCTCTATGCCACATCTCTGGCTTCCTTCAAGTGTGCTTAGCACATAACCCAGTGGCTGTAAGGCAACGCATTAAGAAGGAATAGATGGAAGGATTTAGTCCAAAATAAAGATAAGTGTGGCAAAACTGCCAGGATAGAAAAACTCACTGAGATGGGAGCATTAAGGTTGTGAAGTGCTGGGATGTGCAAAGAGTGGAGGATAAAAATGGAGATGGGATGAAGCGGGAGCATGATGTTAGAGAGATGCACATAGAGTGAGGTAGAGAAACTGAAGAAGCTGTCACAAAGAAAGTGTGTTAAAAGACAAAAAGTAAATATTTATAAATGATTGAGACTAAGACAAAAATTAATGTGGAGAGAGAACAGAAAATGGAATAGATGGGAAAAATTAGAGAGTGAGAGTGGATTATATGGGTCCAGTGTTAAAACAGCAAGGGTGAAGGTGAAAGCATGAAATGTAGACATTTAAAGATATTAAGCAAAAGAATTGAGAGAGGGGAAAAGGAAAGGTAGATGGTGAACGGAAGTGGCAGAGTAGAAGGGAAGAGAGGATTTGTAAGCATGGGTGAGGAGAAATGTTGGACAGGACTGAGGAGATTTAGGAAGAGGTTGATGTGCAACAGCAAAACCCAGTAGACAGGTGTTAAAAGGCATTCAACAATGCACCTCGAAGTAAAACCTGGGCATTTTTTGTATTGTGTTGAGCAGGTAAACCACACCTTTTCATCTCATCACCTGAGCAGACGTGTGTAGCAATGTGTATGAATGGCTGTATATTCGTCTGTGTATCTGAGGATGTGTGGGTGCATTTGTGTATGTGTCTTATCGCCTCTGTAAATCCAGAGAGCCTTTATATGGCTTGTTTACAGACATTTGTAGCCTCAAACCTCATCTTTATTCATTCATATGCTTTTATAAGCCAGTTACAGGCACTCTGCAAGGAGGGCTATTGTTGGAGGTCTTGAATGCCTCTTCTTCACTCTCCTTTGATCTGGCTTTATCAAAGTGCTCACAGAACAGTGTTGCTGTGATGTTGAACCACACAACCAGAGTGCCTGGGCTCACATGTCATGCATTTGCATTTGTATAGCCTGGCTAAATGAATATCATTGTAATCCTTGATTAAATGTGCATAGGATCTGTTTGTGCACTGAAAGTGTGTATGTCTCAGGATGCACATGCTGCAGTTGCTCACACGTGCTTTACCGTGGATCTTAACACGAGAATGCGGTTTCGTTAGTATTGTCTCTATGCATGTGTGTTTTTAGAGCATTCAAAGCACTGCAAAGGGTTGTAAATGTAATGGAATATATTCCATAAAAAAAAAAAAAAAAAAGCGTTTTTTTCTGCCTAAGCTGGATCCCTGAGCATCAAGACTTGAATAGATGATATCATGAAGTCAGATGTTTTGGATTTCCATTGACACTGAACAAGTGATGCCCCTGCGTGGGGTCATGACTACACCAAAATAAGTTTTAACTGAATATAGGGCTCCCTGCTGTGTAACAAATGGGTTCAAATGTGCCCATCCCACATTCCCTCTGTGTCCAAGGACTGTTTACGAAACAGCTCCAGAATTAACATTATCATTACTGCCGAGCTGTCTTTGCTGTTTAACTCAGGCTTGCTCCAATTAAGTAAAAATTAGTGGGAATTTTCATTCAGGGTGGATATTTGCCTCAAAATGACTCATCCTTTTAACTGTTGCTGCTTTTACATAGCCGATTTTTAATTTTGAGGTTTAAGTCTTACAGTTTTGGTTACTGCAATAGCAACTGAACCTGTAGCCTGTGTTAGCACCATGGGTGAAGCTACAGAGGATTATGGTTGCTGAAACTGTGTTTACTGTATGTGAATCCCCCTTGGGAGACATCAGACTGTCAGTGTGAAATTAATCTAATAGGCCTGTCATTATTGTTGGAAATTTTTGTACGACAAGCACTTTCCTCCCATGTCCCTCTAACTTATTACCTGCCAGCTGCTGCCAAGTGCATACTTGCATACTGCGACTACAATTTATAGGCTGACAGAGATGTTTTCTGTCTTCCTTGGGCAGGAAAATATGTCCAATAGATTGCGAGTGCGTATTAGTGTGTAGGTGTGTGCTCGTGTCTGTGCACATGCTGTTTTATGAGAATGTGCATTTATAATGCAGTGGTCCAGGCACAGTTGATGTTGCAGCAAACATGTACACTGCAAGCACCGGTGTGAGCATATGATTTGAACCCTGTGGTCCGCTCAGAGTGGAGGAACAGCGTCAAAAAGTACATTTATTTAGAACTGAAACGCCTAAGTTTAATATTAAATTGAAATTGTAAATATGGAAAACCCACCAAGAAAGACTGGTTACATCATGTAAGCACTACAACTGCGTGTGTCTCCTCATAGCTAACCAGTAACGCAGATCAACCAACCTAATCTGCTCTCATGATTCATGCAGTTAATCAAAAACCTATTGCCAGTTTCACCATCTTCTTATCCCACCTTCATTACCCTTAAGTGTATGTGTGTGTGTGTATATACGTATACGTATACGTGTGTTTGCTTGAGACAGTCCTGAAGCATGCTCACTTATTGATCATTTGAAGATTATTTTCACAGTGACAAAGCCCTGTAGCTCATAGCATTGATGTGGAATTGATTGTTTGACTGGTTGGCGTCTTATCCATTCAAGGTCCAAGGCTTACAAGGTGTAAAATTGTTGTGTGTGTGTGTGTGTGTGTGTGTGTGTGTGTGTGTGTGTGTGTGTGTGTGTGTGTGTGTGTGTGTGTGTGTGTGTGTGTGTGTGTGTGTGTGTGTGGCAAATGTTCTTGAGTGCAACCTGGTGTAAAGATATTTTGGTATATTTTGGTCAATGGTCTATTTGCCTGTGTGAATATATAAGATGAATATAGTTGAGTTCTATGTCAGTGTGAATGGATTTCAGTCTTAGTGAATTAACAAGTGAAATGGTGAGGATGATTTCCTGTCAGGATACACAGAGAACATATTTGTTTTAGTTAAAGGAATCCCCAAAATATTTGTTATTTGTAAGGGAGTTACTGCTACACTAACTCAGTTTTATTAATGATCCCAAACTAACAAGGAATCAAATTTATACGGACATAAGTGTTCAACAAGTAATTCAGTTCATTACAACAGCTTCCTGTTGACCTTTAAAATGGCAAGCAATTGGTCAAGTGCCAGTTCACAGAAGACTAATGCCCCTATTAGACAAGGGGGGGAGGGGTTTCCTGAACTAGGACACGTAAAAAAAAAAAAGGAGAGAAAGCACACCTGGAGCTTTACTCTGGTCCATGTGTTCTCATCCTGTGTGTCTAGCCAGTAAGGCATCCAGAAATAGTCATACAGTTTTTAGTGTATTGTCCCTTCAAAACCTTATTCTCCTTTCATCTGGACCTTTATAAAGGTGCTCTTTACTGGATAACCTGTTCTACAATGCAGGTTCAATCAGAATTTCCTGTTTGTGAGAGCTTGTGTCTTGTTCCTGAAATAATTATGTATTCAATATATTAATTACATAATAATAATTATTCATTTGCAACATTGACAAGTGAGATTTTTTCAAGTTTAAGCCTGGGATTTGGTATAGACTCAGCGGGATGAAGTGTGAAATGGAAACAATATTGGACACAGAGCCGGAAATGGAAAATCTGTTCTTTCATCCTCTCTTGGCGATTTTAATACTTCAATTGCATTCACCAAAATACTATTTGTTTCAGCCGTCTACCTTTGTCTCGTCTTTTTCTTTTTAGGATGGCAGCCTCTCTCACACTGCACATTTTATATCTTATTATTGATCACCACATTACATTAAGTTGTCTTAACTGCCTCTTCCCTATCAGTTTTAAGGGAATTATATTTCACATCTTCTCACCTTCATAGGACACCAGACAGTTAATACTGTACCTCTGCAGTGCTGTGCAGTACTAATTGTGTAAAGAAAATGCCGCATACAGTATGGTGAATACAGTAATAGTCCTTTCTTTGCTTCTCTTCATAAAGTCGTTTATTTTCTGCTCTCACTCTCTTATCCTTACTCTCTATCTTTTCATGTCCTGTCCATCTGTCTCTCTCTTTCATCCTCTTTCTCTCTTTGTTACAATCTCATCTCTTTTTGTCTTTCTATTTCTTATATATTTCATTGCCTCCCATAATCATACAGCATAGATAACCCTCCGTCTTATGCAAAATACATGGGGGACAGGATGCTGTTGCTAGAAAAAATAAATATCTGTCTAATGCTAAAAATAAATTTCTGTTACATAAAAAGATACACTGTTGCAGTGCTTTATATCATCTGGTTCTGCTGTGAAGAGTGAATATGTCTGTAAGTTACGCAGAAATCTTACATAATGATATTGATAAAAAATCATCTATTGTTTATGTGAGTTCTGATACAAACAATATACATTATTACCAAGGAGCAAAGTACCTGTTATCACCCATAGGTGTCACCACCCATTTTTGTATCTATAGTAGATACAGTAAGGTTGACAGATACAGTAGATCTCAGTATTAAGATTGTTGGGGAACTAATTAACTTACATTTATAGTTACATTATGTGAGACCAGAACTCATAACTGATCTGTATTTTTTCTTTGGAGTAGGGGTGGGGTCTTTCAAATGATACAGATGTTGCTCCAGCAAAGCAGCCAGTATTACTGCACCTCATTATATCTTATCTGTTAGTCTGACTAAAGAGTGTAATGGACTCCTATGTTAATGATGTCCCAATACTGTTTTGAACTGTAATCAGATTTAATGTGACTGTTGGAGCAGCTAAAGTGTTGCACCAGAAACTATTTTTTTTCAG